CTTGAGGGGCTTGGTTTAATACATAGACTTGCAACAGTTTCTACATTTTCTAATTCTCACATTCTAGATAGAGTGCCATAGGACTGAGTTCCTGAGACTTATGAAGAGACGAAAAATAATAGTGTTCGGTAAATAAAAAACATATAAACTTTGGCCAATAAAATTCAGTGTTATAATTTTTCTATTTCTAGACATATCACCAAATAGACCTATTTTTGGACTTACTCCAAATAGAAAATGAACTGAGGAATGAATTGGCATTCTTGCATTTTTTTAAAGGGTATTTCTTGACCAGGAACCTCCTCACATCCACTAGCTATGTGATTTTGGACAAATGACTTAATTTCTTTTGATTCAGTTTATCTGAAAATAATGACAACACCTTTCTCACAGGACTCTTCAAATAATTCAATAATTCATTCTAAAGTACTTTACCATAGACCTGGCCCTTAATAAGCATGTAATATGTTGTCCATTCCTGCATTTGGGACAGTGGAGCCAACCCTGCGCAGGGCCAGGCAATGTGACTGCAAAGACATTTTTCTGTTCTGTTTGTGGCCTCGTGGATACTGCTCTATCTTAGGCTTGGGTGTCCTACACCTAATGTGGCACCTTAAACTGAAATAAGCTCTAAGTCCTTTAATCTCCTACAATATAGAAAACAGGCACATTTCCATTACATGGCATTCTGTTACACTAGGATTTTAAAGTGGGCAATGTTAAAGGCTGAAGAAAGGGAAGTGAAGACAGTACTCCAAGTGCCCACAATTTATCGTAAATGTCACAATCTTCAGTAACTGGCACATCTCCTATATTGATACTACTTATTACAGAACTGAAATATTCACTATCAGAAGCAAAAATGATAGCCTCAAATTTGTTTGCAGATTACAGTTTTGCACACAAAAGTGGATTTTCCTCAAGCAAATGTAGGAGTTTCACCTCAATTTAAGTGAACAAATTCACAATATCTGTTTCTTTCCCAGTGTTATTTATCACGTTTCTTAAAATAAGGAAATTAAATACTGCAATATAAATGGATTATCTTATAAATTATTATACTCTGAAATCTATAAAGCACATTCTAAAATATGGATAAGAATACAGATGGTGATACTATATATCAAACACCTCCTAAAAGGGAAGAATTCTTGCTATATACAGAAAAACAACAACTGATATTTTATCATCTCTACTTCAGTTTAAGAAGTATCTTTTGTCAGTGCTTTCTATAATCTTCCTCATCTAACTAGCTCCTTATTGAAACTGGCCAATTTATTTTTCATTTTTAGAGATTACCTGCTACCTGAAGGTTATGTTAAGTAACTCCTCATATTGTTCTTGCTAAACTCCAAGACATTATTTCCCAATGTCTTAACTAGCTGCTCTATTGACTTTTGAATCTTTTTTTTTTTATTTTTTTTTTTAATGTTTTATTATTTCTAGGGGGGAGAGAGAGAGAGAGAGACAGCGCGAGCAGGGGAGGGTCAGAGAGAGAGGGAGTCACAGACTTTGAAACAGGCTCCAGGCTCTGAGCTGGCAGTCAGCACAGAGCCCGACGCGGGGCTCGAACCCACGAACCGAGAGATCATGACCTAAGCGAAAGTCGGACGCTTAACCGACTAAGCCACCCAGGCGCCCCTTTCAGTAACACTTTTGCACTAAACTTCTAAAGTGCCAGGTGATCAGCAGTACACATAATGTATGAAGAAAATCTCGAGAAGCACTTGTCTAAAATACCAAATCTCCCAGAATACATACACTGAAGCTCTGCACAAGCTTAAATATACTGACATCAATATGAAGACAACTGTTTTATTTAGGGTTCTGAAAACTTTATCTGAAATTGTGATTCAGATTTTAGTTGCTCTTCAAGTCCTCACTTTTTGCTCCTTACGACTTATAAACTCATTTTACTAAAAATATTTGTCAAGAAAATTATGCGCTGACCAAAATCAATTTTTAAAATAAATTATTGCAGAATTTATGCCACAGTTCTGTCACTTGTGGTTTTGCAGGGAGTAAAAGAGGAAGCATAGTGATGGAAATCAAAGATGTCACATTAGGACAGGGAGCCCAAGGGCTAAGGGTTCAATAGCAGTAACACTGCTACAAACCTGGCCTGAATGAGACAGAACTTGTTAATTATTTCTGTGCTATGGAAATCTTGAAAAAAGTCTCTTAATAAATTTAACATATTCTTTTTTTTTAACTGGAACTTTCATATACTAAATCTGTAAATAAAATGTACATTAAGACCCATTTAAAAACCATATACAAAGGTAATTTGGCTTTTGCCCCCAAATTTAGAATTTTATCTTAAGAACTTTTAAAACTCAACTTCTATGAAATCAACACTTTGGCTCTTCTGTGTATATCTCTAGAATACTACAGAGCTCAATAGGAGAATAAATAATTATTTGACCATATTATTGAAATATAGAAACACCTCTGCTTTGAATCCTTTTAATAGATAATGGAGTCAAGGAGCATTTATTTAAAGAGATTAAATGTCTATTTGCGTATGCTTTTGTCCCTGGCCTTTTTTCCTAGCTTTACTAATTCTTGCTAGCTCATTTTTTTTTTCTCTCTCTGATTTCAGGTTTACTTATATGCTGGCAAATACTGTAACATTAACCTCAGCCAACTGCTTTTTCATGAACTTCAGACCTGTGAGCACAATTAACTAAGGTACCTTATTTTTTTTTAAAGATTTTTTTTTAACATTTATTTATTATTGAGAGATAGAGAGAGACGGCATGGGAGAGGCAGAGAGAAGGGAAGACAGAATCTGAAGCAGGCTCCAGGCTCTGAGCTGTCAGCACAGAGCCCAACATGGGGCTCAAACCCACAAACTGCAAGATCATGGCCTGAGCCAAAGTCGGACACTCAACCGACTGAGCCACCCAGGCACCCCACTAAGGGACCTTCTTAATTAAGGGACTGAATGAATTCATTCAGTCCTTCATTTACTCCCCAAGTTTTTGAGCCTCTGTTGTGTGTTAGTGTTCTTGGCATTAAACATATGGCAATGAACCTAACAGACAATAGTCTCTGTCTTCAAAGAGCTTACGTGATAGATGATAAGGAAACAACTAAATGAAATAAGCATTATAGAGAAAAGTAAGAAAAAGAGGGCTTGGAAGGAAATCTTGGAAAAGTTACCCATTTTTTTTTTTTTTTTAAGACTAGCTTGGAAGACCTCACTGAGATGACATTTTAACAAAAACCTGAAGGGAGTGAGGATGTGAGCATCCAGAAGAGCATTTTAGATGTCCTGCAGGCATCTTCAAACATTCAAAACTGAACTTATTGTCTTTCCTTGTAAGTTAGCTTCTCTTCCTAAATTTCCTGTTTTTTTTTTTAATTTAGCCATTATGTTACATTAAAAAAAAGTCTGACTTACCCTAGTCTGCTCTTTAACTCTGAACAACCAGAGCCTATGTCCTTTTGATCCTATCTCCTCATATTGCCTATTGACCTCTTTTCATTCCTATTTCATGGATTATTGTTACTGCCCTTGTTCACGCCAACAGTGTTTTTCCTGGAGATTTTCCTGCTATGCATTTTCTTAACCAGTCTTCTTGCCTCCTCAAATTCATCCTTGATACTGCTGAATAGTTACATTTGTGAAGTGCAAAGTTTATCATGCCATTCTCCTGCTTAAACTCTTCAGTGGTTTCTCATTATTGTCAAACCCACTCTTTATTGTGGCATGGAGGGTCTGATGTGATTAGCACACTTACCCTGCCCTTCTCCTATTTTGGATAACCTCTCCAGGTTTCTTTTCTCCACTTTAGGTAAATTTACTGGCTCTAGCTCTATAAAGTTCATCCTAAAAGTGACCCCTTCCAACACTGTGCCTTCTTACAGTTTCTATGTTACTTTTGTAACAGTGATTTGTGTACATAGTTGTCTTTCCTAAACCCAGCTCAGTGCTTGGATCAAAGCAGGCACGAAAAACCAAATGGATAAAATTAAATGTACCATCCTGAATAACTGATGTAATATAAATATAACGTAAAAGCGTTTCTTTTTCCTCAAACCCTCAGCATCACCTTAGAAGGCCCTATTCAACATGCAGTTTAACATATTCTGATACTGAACACAAACATACAATCTTATTTGCTTGGAAAACCATCTGATTTAAAAGCTTAATACTTCTTTCCCAACTAACAGCTTTACTTTGGGGAATTCAGATATATTCCATTCATCTGTATACTTTTATTTTTAGGAAGAAAATCTGTTCCAGAATATATGAATTGCAGAAATTATGAGTCACTTCTGCTAAAGATAATTTGAGGTTAAGAAAACTGGTCACAGGGATTAATAAAGGAAAATAAAATTAATGACAGAAAATAGGTAGAGATAAAGGAAAATTAGCTTCACAAACCAATCTAATGGCATTGGGGGGGGGGAAGATCCAATTTGCATATAAGAGGGTAATAAAAATGAAATCCAGAATCAATAATCCAGACATAAAATTAGCAAAATTCTTAACATATGTGGGGGACCAGGAAGAGAATAAATTTGATATGTATCATATCTAGAATAAAATGAAACAATTTGCAAATTTCTCATTTATTTTGACCAGGGTAGCAAATCTTTGCTTCTAAGTACCTGATGGTAAAAGGAAATTTACAGTAGAAAATTTCACTGAGAGGTATGTTTTCATTTGTAACCAGTCATTCCTTGCTAATGAATAGCAGTTGGAATTAAACTACTATAAATTTCCAAAGACTTATTGTTCATTTTGCTTTTTACAGATTAGTAAAAAATAAAATTAAGTTTTTAAATTCTATATGCTATCACTATTTTGGTAGTGACAAATATGAAGATTTATGTTCTTGATAATGGTATAAAATGTAACTTTAAAAATAGATGTTTTGAAGGTATTTTAAATACTTTATAGACAAAAAAATGCTTTTATTTCAAAAAGTTTTATTCATAGTTAAAATGAATATTGGCCAATTAACTCTTGAAAGACCTTGAAACTCAAATGTTTTTATCTATAGCTGGCAACCCCAGCCACAGAGGTTTATTAGCAGAGGGAGAATAAACTATTGCCTATGCTTATCAGATTGTATTATACACAGTAATCAACTAGAGATGTTAAAATACAGATTGAAACTCAGAAGGTCCAGACTAGGTCCTGGATTCTAGTTTCCTACAAGCTCTCAGGGTCCTGGGTCTAGTCTGCTGGTGGTCCACAGACCAATAGCAAGACATGAGTCAGTGGTTCTCAGCCTTGATACCCAAAGGAATCACCTGGGAGATTAAAACAAAACAAACAAAACAAAACAAAACAGCATTTCCAGGGGTGAAGGGTTATTTAGTTTGGGATCCAGTCTGGGTATTGAGTTTCAAAAGCTCTCAAGATCAGGATAACAAGCAGCTAAATTTGAGAACTTATGACCTAAAATTTATTGGTCAGATTTATGGGTAGGTTTTATTTCTTCTGATTTCTATTACTGTAGATAACAGAGCTAGAAATAACCTGTACTGCACAAATTATAAGAGTAATATAGCCCCAAAATCTCCAAATTCTTACTGAGAATATGAGTCATTATCAATCAGGTTCTAACATTGAGTCTTAGCAGTTTCATTCCTATATTACCAAATGATTTAATAACATGTTTTTCATGTATTTTAAAGTTAAGTATCCATGGATATAATGACAATCCAAATGATTTTTTGATTAGGAGGTAGATATGTAACAATGTAATTTTAAAGTATATGGAGGTGTTTATTCCTAATTACAAATAACAACAATAAAAGCTCACTTAGTCAGAAATTTATGAAAAATAACCCCCAACCTGGGATTTATCCCAGGAGAAAGGCCCAGACACAAAAAGGACATGCAAAAATTTACTTAGTATCTGTACTTGAAGTAGATGCCCAGGAATTGCAAACTGAATTATCACTTTTTTTTTAATAGTGACTTTCCTAATTGTTTTGCTAAGCTAAGGTCTGTAAAAGGTCAGGATGCAATTTCACTCCAAGGTTCCCTCCCAAATTCTTAAAACTGCATATCAAAAATATTTAATGAAAATAATATTTTAAAGTCAGGTTTTTTGCAGAAATTCCCACATTACAGTAAAAAGTAGTGGACTGTAAGTCAACTACTACATACTACTAACAATGTGACTTAATCAAACTTTCTGAACGGATCTTTTCACTCCAACTTAAGGGCTAGATAAAGTCCAGTAAGAATGTGTAAGCACAGACTAATGCCACATAGTAATATAAGATAGCACTATGTATATTTATGATAAGCAAAATAAACATATAGTGTGGTAGTGCAAAAAAATGGGGTCTAGTCTAGGGACTACTTTCAGCTTTGGTGCTAATTAGGCCATAACAAGCTAATCACATACTTTAATTTCATTTTAAAAATAAAAATACTTCAAGTAGCTTATCTTGACAATCCCTAGCAGGTCAAAGCTCTATGATCCAAAAATAACTAAGTGGTCCTCCAAGGCTAATATTAATTGTAAAAAACAAACAATCAAAACCTCACCAAGAGTTTTCTTGAACATGACTGGCTTAACAAGTTTCTTAAGAAAAATATAATTTTAAATTTGTTTTTTAGAACAGTCTACAATTATTTGGCCATCATTTAAAATAGCAAATTTAAAATTTTAAAGTGTTGAAAAGGATCATTAAACACAGTGCAATAACACTATGCAGAATTAAAACAAGCAGTATAAACTGCTGATAAAGAAATGCCAAACAGCTTTTCCTAAGGAAGAAAGGAAAAACATTTGGGATTTTATGATCTATCCCAAAGAATATATAGGTATTCTTATTAAATACACAAAATGTTTTTGAGGACTGCAAATAACTCAAAGTTTCTGTATAAATTATCCTATTTAATAAAGATGGTAGTACGTGGAGGTTATTTCCTTTTAATTTATTGTTTAGTTTGAATTCATGTCCTGCCAATCACACAATACCTAGTGTGACTAAATACATGAGAAATTCCTGTAAGAATCACAAAGTGCCTTGCAGCTTTCTGTCAGGATGCTAAGGAAACATAACACTGGAGACACAGGTTGTCTCAATTAGAAGTTTCAATCATTAATCTTCCTCAGAACTGGAATCATCCTCTTGGTCAGAGAGTTCAGGGACAGGGAAGCGGAGAATGGCAGCTACTCCAGTCAACTGACTGAGCTGTTCCCCAGATACATGAAGACTAGAGAATATCCTAACAGTGCCTGCGTTCTCTTTCACACTGTCCACCAGCTTCACATATCGGCTCCGTGTGGCTACATCCTGGTGCCTGAAAAGCTCATCGCTGATGAGCAATGTGTCAATTGCCATAGCCTCATTGGCCTTCTCCACCTGCTTGAGTCCATAAAAAGCTCGGTCAGGTTCATGTTGTAACATTTTATAGAAGTCATCCAAGGCTTTTACTTCCCCAGCGGCTTTAGTGTCTGAAAGGCGGCTAGCTACAGAAGGGTCACAAAGGGCCTCTTTCAGGGAGTACTTGTGTCCAGAGGAGGCATGTACCTAGAATCACAATTATGAAAGTTAGGCAAAAGAACTTCTTAGAGTACCCATTAATCAGCCTGCAATGGCCTAAAGCCAGAAGCACTAATAAAGCTTTATAAGTTTGAGGACTTGAAGCAAAGTTCACTATGTAAAAAAACCCATTTAACAGCTTTTTCATTTCATTATCTCCCTTACACTCACAGTCCAGAAAACACTTTCTCCTCTTGTACTTTTCCTAGTTCTAAAACCTAAGAGTTAGTTGATACAAACCCCTCTGCCCTTTCTTAATTATCCTTGGATAAGACTGTTTTACCTGAAGGAATTTGGACCGGTTTTCCAGGAGCACTTTGTTGTCGGTCTTCACTGCTTGTTGAAACATGTAGTCACAGAACTGCTCCCTCACGAATCCGGGGCTGGCCACCAGGATGCACTTCACAACGTCAAAGTTTATGTGGCGCTGGATAGCCTGGACCACCTGTTCGTAGAACCGCTCCAAGGCCCGGTCATGCTGGGAACAGTTGCCTTTCCGTTTCCTAGGGATGTTCACCTCCACCTTGGCCCGAGTCAGGGTCATACTGGGAGTGACTAAGCAGATATGGGCGAGGCCTTCCTGCATGACCACAGCCGCCACATCTGCGCTCCAGGCTGGGTCACAGGCCTGCTCGATGCGCTCCAGAACCACACTGTCCCACTGTTTCTTGGCCAGCGTGAACTGGCGGTTAGGCTCCAGCTCGATGGTGTGGTAAGCTCCCATCTTGACATACTCATTCTCTTGGATGTTGGTCCCCTTAACCCGCAGCTGGCAGGCTTGAGAGTCAAAATCGATGGCCTCCACGCAGAGAGTGAGAGTAGTGCGGACCCGGTTGCTTCCTACGCTGCCCGTGGAGGACTCAGTCTGTACCTTGCGGATGGTGGAGGCGCGCAAGCTGTCGCCCACCTGCACTAGATTGTAGGTGTGCCACATGTCCTCAGGTTCTTCGGGGACCAGGGTCACCTGGCCCGCATTGTCTTTCTCAATGTCCTTTCTCACGAGCTTCATGACTTTGGCGGGGATGCACAGGCAGCACAAGAGGAAACGAGGGGGTACCCGGTGGGAAAAGGGCAGAGGGGGAAAGGGAGTCTAGGCCGGGAAGGGGGCGGGGTCTGGTTCCTACAGGCACTGGCGTGACGGGAAGGAAATACTCTAGCTCCGACTCAAGCGGCAGAGGGGAACACTTACTCTGACCCTTCTTTTCTTAGTTTCCGGGCGCACGGCGCCACACCGGCGCAGGAAACACCGCAGCAAACACAGTCTTCTCCAACGTTCCAGGCGCCAGCACAGACCCAGAGGCTGATGCAATGAAGGCGCATGCGCAGCCCGCGTCCCGCCTGCCGGCGCACGTTTTACGTCCCCAAAGAGGAGGCGGGGGTGGGGGTGGAGTCACAGTTCGCGCGGGCGCAGGCGCACGAAGCGCGAGGTTTCTGACGAATAAACCGACGGAGGAAAGTGCTCGGAAGCTTTGGTGGTAGGTCATTTAGTGCTGAACTTGGATTTCCTAAGTTTTCTTTTCCACACCTGTTTGTGCAGAATCTGAGGAATATGCAGTGCAAATTATTTTTTCAGCTGCGTGCAGGTGCCACTGTACACCTCTAACCCGGGTGAATGCAGTGTTAAAACTTAACTAAAAGTAAAAGGAATTCTCAAAAGTGCAGACTTGGCCCCACAGTTCTAAAATGTACTCCGCTTTGCACCTGCCTTATCCGCACTCAAGCGCTGCACGCCTGCTGGAGCTGGTATTTCCAGACACGGTTTCTAAGAACGACTGGTCACGGTCGGTCTGGGCTCAGAGCAACGTGCCCAACTGTTTTCTGCGCTTAGTTACCGTGTCTGCACGATCTGACTAACCCAGATGTTAAAGCACTGACCCCAGAGAGAGAAGAAACCATCTGTGGAATTTACCCCTGGGTGGACCTCTCAGTTGCTTGCCCTGATGTCCTGGGAATCCCAGATTCCAAGATCGGCAGGCTCCGCTTTCTGCCGCTCAATAGCCTGTAAAATGTTTAGGTTGGGGGTTGGGTCGCAAAAGCTCAGGGCAGGATCTTCACTGCCAAAGTTGAGCTGAGAGCTGAGAATACAGGAAATGGGGAAAATCTGATGTAGTAGGACCAACCCGACTGAAAGGCTACGGAATTGGTTTTAAAGAAAATCCTTAAGTCACTTAGCATTTTTATGGTGTTGGGGTGTTGAGAAGTGGGGATTGCTTCTTAACAAGGTCAGTAAATAGAAAAAGCCCATCAGAGTTTTCTTGAGAGTTAAGACACGGTGGAGGGCAGAGGAATCCTACACATGTATCTTCTCATCCTTAGGTATGGCACTGAAAGGGTAGCTTGGACTGGTGAGACCAGGATGAAAGGAAGGAATCTGACTTCGGCACAAGTCTTGATACATCTCAGTTATCTTCCTCAGAGATTCTAAGGGGACACACAATTCCCATCTAAAGCTCTAGGGCACATTAAGGTCATTGTTTTGTGGCTTCTCCTCTTCCTTGCTCTTTTTTCCTCCCTCCTTTCCCTCTTCCTTCCACACCTGTCTGTCATACTAAATGCACTCACAATTTCTAACTCAGACTGCCTTCTTCCACTTCCAAGAAAACCCAGAATCTTTTGAGTGAGTAAGGAACTGATCACACCAATGTGTAAAGACGGCTTGCCTCTTCCCAAAGATTTCCTAACTAGGAGAGAGTTACTTTGAGTTACCTCTCTCTAAAGTCTGCCAAAGATTAAAAACCACAGAATCACAGTGGCAGGCATATAGTAGGATCTTAATAAATGTTCAATTTTTAATGAACAGTTATCATTTATTGAATATTCACCAGGTACTTTCCTATACTCTTCTAATCCTCATCTGTAAATATTTGTTATCCTCATTTTGTAAATTAAGAAAATGAATTACAGAGACATAAAGAAATGTATTCAAGATCACATAACCAGCCTTTAAATTCAGAACTGCTTAACTCCACACCCTCTCCTCTGTTCATTGTTGCAGATTATATTATGGATGCTTGAAATCATCCACTGCCACTTCCCTTTGTCACCTTTACCAGTTAAAGACAGCTTAGGAACCAACTGAGAGGATTTGAAAGGCATTAGTCCCTTCCTTGCTTTTATTACTTTCAAAAAAACTCCTTATATTCTTCTCTTCAACATGGCTTTCCTTCGGCCCAGCCTAGGTCACCATTATAATCCTAGAGAAAAAATCCAATATTCTACTTAAGGAAGATACACATATATTTCTACAATTAAAACCTGTAGGAAACCCACACTGATTGTTAATTCTGTGGTTATTTAAAAAAGTTTCTTTAAATTCTGGGGCAGACTGCTTTGGGTTACCTTTTTAAACGTGCTTCATTGATTGAACATACTACAAAATTTTTCATAGAATTACTATTTGATCTGAAACAGAATGATTTCTTAGTAACTGGAGCTTACTTTTGAATGATCAGATGTTTTCTCTCAGGTTTTGTGTTGTAACTTAGTATTTCCAGACTAATCACTACATTTTTATTTTGAGTTATTTGAAGTTCCCATTCACTACTAATTAAAATCCAATTCCTTGGGATACAGGGCCTCCATGGTTTGGCTTTACATGCTTTATTTTCTCCTTGCCCCCTCCAGCACCCTGTATTCCACCACAGGAGTAATTTTTGTTCTCCATACATCCTGGGAACTGTCTACTTTGCTGCCCTTAACTCATGATGTTCTCTATTTAAAATGTCACTGCTTTTCAGTCCTGCCTCCATAAATCCTACTTCTTAAGCCCCAGCTTAAATGTTATTTCACATTTGAAAACCTGCATATATATATATTTTTAAATATTTTTTAAATGTTTATTTTTGAGAGAGAGACAGAGTGTGAGTGAGGGAGAGGCATAGAGGGAGACACAGAGTCCAAAGCAGGCTCCAGGCTCTGAGCTGTCTGCACAAAGTCCCACGCGGGGCTTGAACCCTCAAAATGACATATCATGACCTGAGCTGAAGTCGGACGCTCAAGTGACTGAGCCACCGAGGCGCCCCTGAAACCCTGAATATATTAATTGGAACACCTATGTTTTCTTTCTTGTTGAACTCTAAGTAGATTCATCCTTTTACTCTTCCACTGACCCTTGAAAATTCCCTAGCACATAGTAGGCATTTATACATGGATGATAACCTGAGCGGATCAGATATAAAGTGTGGCAGCTACATGAACATAATCACAGACAGTTCTTAAGGCCTGATATTGTAATTAACTATAGTTCATTTAATAATGGTTTATAAAAAGTAATTCCTCTTATTTTAAAACTGCTGTAAGTTATAGCAGTTAAGCAACATATAGCACTATATGGTATTTTCATTCCTTACCAAAATATGCAAAATCATGAGAAAACAAACCATGATTTACCTTTGTTACTTTAAATTCTAATCTTATGTTTATTGGCTTCTTAAAAATAGAAACCTTTATATTAGTAACTTTATATCTATTTTTTATATTTATATTAATCTCTCTAGAATAAAAAAAAGTTCTCAATTTGTTGTTTTTGATATAATTCCAGTGTCTCAAAAAGAGAACTGGGCTAGAAGTCAAACATCCTGGATTGTAATTCTTACCCTGTCAATTGTTTTTACTCTAACTTTTGGCAGTCCTTAGTGTCTTAGAAACTCAATCTTTTTCTTAAGAATTGAGGGCATTGAATTCAGTAATTAAAATTGTCTTAATTATAAAGATTATGCTGCAAAAAAATGTTTAAAAAACTAAAACAGTAGTCATAATCTCACTCTCACATTTATTTTCAATTTTGCATAGTACCTTTTGAATTTGATTCTTCCTAATGCCCACTGTAGTGGGAAAAGATTGATACCAAGTTTAATCCTTGCACACCAAGAGTCATGATATTTCTAGGTAGGCTATAGCAACTTTAGATAAGGCCCCGAACCTTTCATTGTAAAATCTGAGTGAGATGATTGGTGTTGCCTCTCTTATTTGATACTTCTCATAAGGTTCTAATGAGATTATGATACTTTGTTAACTGTAGAGTTCTATAAACATGTGAGATATATAAACAAGAATGCCTGACCTGAAGCTAGAAATTTGGATCAGACATAGCAGGGGACAAGGGTTCACCTTAACATGATTATAATTACTCAATCTTGGAAAAATAACTGGTTCAGTAAAGCTGACTGATGAATAATCTGTTGGGTACCATTATTTACACTAGCATCTCTTCTGCAGGGAAACCTTAGGTCAGTCCTACTTCATGAGTTCATGCTGAATTGGATTACAGTCCTTCTTCCTGTTATAATAGTATGTAGAATGTTAGAAATGGTTTGTATGGCGGCAGCAGGCCTTATGGGCTCCTGAAGATGGAAATCTTATTTGGATATCCTGGGCTTAGCACAGTATAGGGGTTGTATAATTGTTTTTGTTTCTTGTATTTTTTTTTTTTTTGCAAGACTTAACTTTTTTTTTTTAATGTTTATTTATTTTTAAGAGAGAGAAAGAGACAGAGAGAGAGAGACAGAGCATGAGTGGCGGAGGGGCAGAGAGAGAAGGAGACACAGAATCTGAAGCAGGCTCCAGTCTTCAGGCTTACAGCAGCAAGCCTGACGAGGGGCTCCAACTTACATGCCATGAGATCATGAACTGAGCCAAAGTTGGACACTAACCAAGACTGAGCCACCCAGGCGCCCCAAGACTTAACTTCCCTGCAACACCTACTAATTTTTTCCTTCCTCTGCTTAGAGCACCGTGGAGGCTCTTCCCATCACTGCTTCCTTGCTTGTCGCTCTTTTCAGAGTGTGAACCTCTTAAGGGCAGAGACTACCTTTTATTTGTCTGTGTTCCTGAAACTCAGCACAGCAACTGTTATATAATCATAGTTATTATATGAAAGAATGATTAGTTAGTTCTCCTTTAATACAGAGTTTTTAACTTGTCTGTCCCTGGCATCTTAAAATTAGGAAAACATTCTTTTTTATAACGTTACAATAATTTTAAAGAGAAGATCATTCTTAAGGTAAGTTTCTAAAAACCTATTTCAATTTTTCAGATACCCATGCTTCAGTAAGAAAATGATTATTTTAAACACATCATACTGAGGAAAAGATCTTAAAATGTAAACACTATATAATGACAGTGTTATGCATGTTTCGAAAATGATCTTTGCAGAATAAGCCAGGGCTCTCAATATGAATATCTAATAATAAATGCAGTCATTTATGTAAAGAGAATGTGGTAACCTGGGATTGTACAGAGATGCCCACGTGACCTCCACAAGCAAAGTTAAGGGGACAACTGGGAGAAGTGCTCAGCTAATTCAGGCAAAAGGGGAA